AGAGTTAAATATTACAGTGTGGTTGACCCCTGCCTCCCCACGTCTCCCCTTTGACGTGATCCTGACTTGTGCTGACCAGCCTGCTGATCAGACAAACGTGGGTGAGCTGCAGAAAGGTAGAGGGAAAGGGACGTGTTATACTTTAATGAAAAAGCAACTTCCTGTTCCCCAAAGAGTTATCTTAGGACAGGCCACGGAGGCTCATGGACCGGATCCTGTAGAAACTACAAAGGCCAAACCTCGCCCGGGATCCATCTTCTCTTCTGCACCAACCAGTGCAGTAGACAGTGGAAGTATAGACTCCTGCTGGGGCAGCTGAAGAGCCTAAACAATTGGTTCTCTTTCTTAGCTAAGCTAGGCTGGCAAGGTGTCAGCAGGGGCTGAAGTCTGGCATCCTCCTTCCACTGCCCCCTTGAGCTGGGACTCTGTCAGCATCTCCATCACTTGGAGCCCCAGCACTGATCATCAGGGAGGAAGCACAGGCTGTTTTGCTGCTATTCCATGCCACTGGCCAGATGTGAAGGCAGAACAGGTGCTCATCCCCCATTAGCCACAGGGAGGCCTCTGCTGATGGAGCAAGTTCAAGTTGCATTCAGCTAAAGTCCCTGGCGCTATTTCCCTTGCCCTGTCCTTTCAGGTTTGGGGAGACAGAAAAGGCTGAGGCGGCTGCTATGTCTTCTTGGTCTTAGGAAATGACATCTGCTGTGGGTCATGGAGAAGCTGCAGGGAAGTCACTATGCTCTTAATGACCACTTTGCTTCTGGTACCATTCGCTTCACCTCCACTTAGTATTTCATGGATACCCTCCCAGTGATTCTCCCTCTCTTTAATTTGCTCTTACTCTTTCACTCTCATTTCTTTCCTCTCTCCTCCAGGTGAATTTTTTTGGGGTTGGGGGGGGGCGGTGAGAAAGATTGGCTCTGAGCTAACACCTGTTGCCAATCCTCCTCTTTTCACTTGAGGAAGATTGTCGCTGGGCCAGCATCTGTACCAGTCTTTCTCTATTTTGTATGTGGGATGCCACCATAGGATGGCTTGATGAGCAGTGTATAGGTCCCTGCCGAGGATTGGAATCTGTGAACCCCGGGCCACCGAAGTGGTGTGCATGAACTTTACTACTACACCACCGGGCAGCCCCCAGGTGAATATTTTTTGGCGAGGTTGGCAGCCTTTCTATTTCTTCCCATGCTTCCTGTATGAGTGTAACGCTCTATACACCAAACTAAAGCAGGCTTGGCTTAGATTGGATCCCCTGGAAACAGACTCTGAGATGAAGGACTGCATGCAGGGTTATTGGGGGGTGCTCTAGGGGGCTCCCTGGTAAGGAAGTGAAGGAGGCTGCTTTGGGCAAGGGGACGAGATGACTCACAAAGGGGTTGCAACCCAGAGGCCTTAGCCAATCCTGCAGGGAGCTCTGGAGCTGCTGGCCCTCCGGAGCTGTCCCAAAAGGAAGCTAGGGGTCCGGCCTCTGTTTCCCTGCACAGCCAGTCATTGGCCATAGGCTGTCCCTTGAGAAGAGGCTTATTCTTGGATCAGCTGGTTCCCTTCAGGGGAGTGGAGATCCGGGGCTGGCTGCAGTGTGAGCCGCCCGTGGGTGACGTTCCCAGCGCCTGGAGAGGGGTGCCTCAGCCCTCACCTCGGGGAGTTCCACTGCATCTGCTACAAGGCTGAGTCTGGTCTTCAATATACATATTGTTCTTTTCACAATGTCTAAAAAGTGCGTGATTCCACAAAATAGATATTCGGTTTCTCTTAAAATCAGAAGAATTAGGGGCTGGCCCCGTTTCCGAGTGGTTAAGTTCGCGCGCTCTGCTGCAGGCGGCCCAGTGTTTCGTTGGTTCGAATCCTGGGCGCGGACATGGCACTGCTCATCAGACCACGCTGAGGCAGCGTCCCACATGCCACAACTAGAAGAACCCACAACGAAGAATACACAACTATGTACCGGGGGGCTTTGGGGAGAAAAAGGAAAAAATAAAATCTTAAAAAAAAAAAAAAAATCAGAAGAATTAATGGATCAGTCAGAGTCCAGTCAAGTAAAGAAAACCCACACAGGGCATTTCAGAGATTTAATAGAGGGGATTCATCAAACATGTCTTGAGGCCTAAAAGTAAAAACAGGGGACACTGAGCTAACCCATATGTAGTAAGTGCAGGAAGGAGCCTCCATGCTAGGTTGAGGAATGAAGGGGATGAATGCGTGATCAAGACCCAGACGCCCAAAGAAGGGGCGTCTGTGGAGCTGAGGCCTCTGAGGACAGGGAGCCACCTGGCAGCTGCTGGTGCTTCTGTGGGGGCACAGTCAGGCTGGTTCTGGGAATGGGAAGGCAAGCTGGAATCCGAAACCAGCTGTTGCTGCGGGGTGAAGGTAATTGCCACAGTGAGGCAGGTGGTTCCAGCAGACAAATAGGAGGGAGCAAGTCCCTTGTGCCCATCTCGTGCCTTCCAGGCTCCCTCTAGTGCCCCCTTCTGGCGGTACCTAAGAGGAAGGCGGTTGACAAAGGAGAGAGGCCCCAGCATCACTCCGCAGAATACAGGAAAGTAGATAATAGCTTAACAACCAGCAGACCTGGCAATTCTGCATCCACGGTCCTGCCTGGGAACAACTAAGGAGATGCACCTCTGCTACTTTTTCAAAAAGAGACAGGTGCGTTCCGTGCCCTCCATCCCTCCCCGGCCAGGGGCTCACTCACTCACCCTCCCAGCTGAGCCCTTTGTGGGCCTTGTTTGCTACTTGTATGAAAAAACTGTTTCCCCAAAATTATCCAAATCGTATTCTGAGAAGCATTCCCGGAATAAGCATGGGCATGGGGTTTGGGGCCCAACACTTTACTCACAGCTGGTACCACTTCACGATGCTGTTTCTCCTGGGACTAAATTCCTCCCGGGTCTTCTCGCCCAATCCACAGGCACGTACCCCCCCGCCCCCTGGCCCCTCTTGCTGAGAAAAGTCTGGGGCTTTCCATTCTTGATTTATCTGCAGCTTAGTTGCACCCCTCAGTGCGGGTTTTAACCTGTCACCTGAGCTCCTGTTTTGTTTTCCCATCGTTATCTTTCTCCTCGGGAGAGGAGGCTGGAAAGGCCAGGCCCTTTTCCACAGCATGCAGCCTAGCAAGTGCTGTCTGAAGGGAATCAAAATTCCCTTGAGACAGACCAGAGCCCTGAGTAGAACTATTTCCCCTTAGTACGGGTTTGTTTTTTTAGAGAATTGATGTAATCAGAGCTTGGCAAGAAAGTCACATTTTTCTGGTTTTCTAAGAAAGGCCACAAACGTTTTAGCGAATTAGTAGATAGCATTGAAGCCAACGATCGTTTTGGAAATTAAGATCCTGAGGCTTAGAGCATGGAAATAGGGGTTTTATGTCTTCAGGGCCTTCCAACTCTCAGAGCCTGGAGCTGGCCCTTTCAGGAGAAGGAGGCTGATGGAGCACCAGAAGAGCACAGTGTGGTTGGAGGGGCCTGTCTGGCTGACTCTCACTGCTAGTCGGCCACACTCAGGGTCCTGCGCCTAAAGGCTCAGAGTCCTGACCTATGACCTGAGGAGGACTGGATTCTGTGATTTCCTTTGTTTTCCCACAGTTTTAAGATATTTAAATTTGAAGTTTCCTGTCTCTCCTTACCACCTACTTAGGACCCAAGCAGAGGAGCAATTTCCTGGGATCAACAGCCCTCCAGACATCACTACCTTGTCACCGCTGCATGTGAATTGTCACACTCACCCCACCCCTAGCCTGGCTCTGCCCCACTGAAGCAAGAAGATGCGAGAGAGCTCCTGTCTGTGCTTTATATCAAGCACAGGATGAAGACATGTGGCGTGTCTTTGACCCAAGAAGTGACCACAGATGATAATGATTTTTTGGTACCTACTGTGTACCAGGCTGCGTGTATATGTTGTGTCTGAGGTTGTTCTCATTTTCAGATGGAAAACTGTGGCTCAGGACAGTGAAGTGACACAGGGCGAGGAAGGGACAAAATCGGATTTGGAATCCAGAGCACACAATAAGAAAATTGTTGATAAGTCTTTCATTCATTATGACTATATCAAGGAGAAAGTCTCACTCTGGCATTAATAGGTATTTTAAATTTTATTTTTATTTGTTTTGTTTTGTCTCTATATTTTGGCTTGAATATATTTTTAACACCTCTATGGCACTTGCTTCTCTCCACTCCCCCCTTCCTCCTCGGAAAGAGAGAGCAAATCTGTGACTTTGGCTAGCAAGACAATCAAGCTAGAAGTTAATAACATTGTTTTGCATTTGTTGTACCCATTTTCATAGTTACCCCCTATTTACGGCAAGTGACACTGACTTTCCATTTGGAGTTAGAGACATGAAGATTCCTTTTGAAATAAACTTAAGTTTAAAAAGAAAACTACCTCAAGTTAAAAAAATAATTCAATACCTAATAGCAGAGGTAGTATGTGGCTGTAGCAAATAGCATGAAGGGATGACTTTGTATAATGTGGGTCTCCGTGCCTCAGTTTCCCCAGGACAAGAATAGTACTTAGCTCCCAAGGTTGTTGTGAGGGTTAAATGTGCTACCCTGTGTCGAGGGCATAAAGTGGTAACTGGGACACAGTAAGCACTATACAAATGCTAGAGAGCGTTATTATTAAGCAAATGTGTGACGTTTAGAGAAGATGGTCATTTGGTTCTTGGTTCTTGTGTGTCACCTGAGGAAAGCAGGCTGGTAATGCAATGACAATGAGGGTCAATCTAACTTTTAAACATAGATTCATTGGTAAAAGCTATACCTAGTTTCACATTGGTCCGTAAAATTGCGGAGTTTGGGGGAAATCTTACTGTGATTTATGGTCATTAGCACGCATTTTTTTCATTTTTAATATTAGAATTGTGTTTATTACTCTATTGCTTTATTTTTAACACTCTTCCCCAGCCACCTCTCCTCCTCATACCCACGGGAAATTGAGAACAGTAGTCAAATTATGGAGACTGCTTGAATAATCATTTACCAAGTACAAAGCTTAGCAAGAAGTCCAGAGACTTTCAGAGCACATATTTTATTCACATGGGGCATAATTATGAGGAGGGAAAACTGTAATGACGTCTTCGAAAACACGCAAGTGTCTGTAAATACATAGTGAAATCTATGCGTAGAAGTGAACCTTTAAAAGAGCTTCTGGGACATATTTTAGTGTTATCACAGAGTTCCAGGAGGAATTAACTTTCAACAACCCGCCATGTCATTTTGGAGGGTGAAAGCTGGTATGGGATGTTGGCCTGGAGGCTGAAATGAAGCTTACCAGGGCTCTCGGGTGTGAGCTATTTGGTAGTCAAAGCAACAATTAAGTTCTCAACATAGAAAGTAAAGAGCATACTCCATGATATTTGAGGTATAAGGATCTGAAAGGACACAAAAGGAAAGGCATACAAAGACTGCTCAGGATTATTTTGAGGGCAGGTACCAAATCTTGCTTATCTGTAAACAGATCTCTGGCATCCATCAATATCTGATGCATCTGTACTGAAAGAAGAGACAAATGAATTCAGAATGTGAACAGGCATACAGATGAGTAGCATGTCCATCCTAGACCACGCCAGAGCATAAAGCCACTTGCACTCACAGTTGTGCCAGCCTCCATCCTGCTTCCTATCAGGAGATCTGGCCTTTTGTCGTGCACACCTTTCCACATATTTCTCGGGCTGCGCCTGGTGAGTGCTGCTCTGGAGGGAGAGTAAAGAACAGTGGTTAAGGGCCCAGCCTCGGGAGCCAAGCTGCCTAGTTCAGTTTCTGGCACTGCCACTTATTAGCTGTCTGATACTGAGCAAGTTATTTAACCTCCCGATGCCTCAGTTTGCCCATCTGTAAAATGAGATAATAGTGCATTATAGGGTGATTAGGAGGTTTGAATGTGTTAATAAAGACAAAGTGCTTAGAACAGTCTCTGACATATAGCAGGTGCTATGTAATGGACTGATGTCACTCTCTTCTGCAAATCTGTGCGAGCTGTCCTTTGCCTGCTCAGTGGTCCCCAGACTGTTCTTCCCTTCCGAAGGTCGCCATCTTCTACCCCCACATCATCTTCCTTTACGTTGATGCTGATATCTCTTCTACCTGGTCTCACCTTCATATTTCCCTACAGGCCTGAAGAACCAAGCCATCCATTACACTTGGAGATATGGGTGAGAGAGAATGCAGAGCATACCTTCTCTCTCTGGCACACGCTCACACTCATTTTAGGGTTGATTCCTGAGCTGGCTCACTACTTGGTTCTGGCCTGTTCATGTGCCCAGAGATAGTTCTGCCCAACCACCCACTTGAAGCCTCCCCACAACTCAGAATCAGCTCCAGAGAAAAAGGACCATGTTTTTCTTCACCCTAGGCTAGGGTCCACCACTGGAGTGCTCGTGTCCTGCTCCTGGATTGGCTCCTCCTTAGGATGGCTGAGAGTTGAAGCATCTCTTCCCTTCAGGGCAAGTATTACCCTACCCACAGAGATGAGGGACAGCCCCCAAAGCCCAACAAGACAATTCCATTGGGGTCTGACGTAGAGGTTGTCTGGAAGTACAGTCATAATTGCATATGGCCCCCATCAGCCACACCATGCTCCATTGAGCTCCAATTCAGCCAGCTCCTCCTCACCAAGGTTTCCAAAAGTCTTGGGTCCAGCCTCACCCAGGGTTGCCCTGAGCTGAAAGAGCTCGGGATTCCAAGAGGCCCGAGTACTGTTCTAGGATTCAGAGTTCCCTGTTCTATCCAGGACTGTTTCAGCTATATGACAGTTTAGGAAGAATTTGAGCATCCCTCTGGGAACCTCACTCTATTTATAACACTGTTTCCATGGAAAAATGCGTTCCAAGTGACAATCGATTTAAAACAGAATGCTTAGAACACAGCCTTTTTGTTGCTGGAGGACTGCTGGTAATTGTTTCTTCACACGTAGAGATTAAGTTGAAGTCTTTTAAAAATGCATCTAGTATAAAGAACGGGAACAAGGAAAAAGCAGGTGGTGTTTCTTGCATTTTTGGGGTGAGTTTTAAAAAGTGATTGTTTTAAGAAACAAAGTTTATTTCAAAAGGTAACATTTACTGAGTATTTACTGTTTGCTGGCCCCTGTGTTAAAGGCTGTTTGGGGGCAATCTCATTTAACTCTCACAACAACCCTCTACACTAGTAAATAGAGAATCTGACCACAGGTCTGATGCGTAGCTTCTGACACCTTTCAAGCCCTACCAGGCCTCTTGTCCTTCTGCCCCACAAGCTTATAAAAAAGCCCAGGTGTTCCCTCCTTTGGCACCGGTGGGAAGTTCAAACCATAGAAACCCCAGCTGGAAGGGGGCACCCCCATCCCAGCCCCTCACTACCATAAACCCCAAATCCAGTCTCCTTTCCCTGAAACCCTGAGCCATCCTTGGACCTGCTTGGGAACCCACCTTGCTCTCTCCCAGAAAGCCTCATTCTATGAGTTATAAGCCTTTTCAAGCCTTCTTGGTGTCTGTGTGGCATCATCAGTCTTAACATTCAAACCAAATTTGCAGGCAGGAGTCCATCTTATCTCTGCGAGGTGGCCCCAACAGGTGGATACAGCATCCTCTATTTTACAGATGAGGAAACCGATGGCTCAGAGAGATTAGGTTGTGTGCCCAAGGTCATAGAGCTGGATAACAGTATCATCTTAGCCCCTCCGCTCTTTTTCTACTTCAGGTCACGTGAGTTTCACCATTTGAAAATTAGTAAATTTGCAATGAGGGTTCACATGTATTTCACTCAATACTGTAAACTTCTAAAAAGAAAAGCCAATTAGTAGTTGTCTTTGACATTCCTCCCCACAATAACTAAGAGATTGCGTTTTAGACAATGGGTTCTCAACACCTGCCATCTGAATAGCTTAAGATGAGTGGGTGTTACAGACCGAGCAATTCCACCTTTGCCCTAGATACTGCACTACACATCATTACAAACAGGCCAAGACTCTCCAGCAATTACCATGGAAACTCTCTGGAATTCTTGTTCTCCGTCTTGTGCCATCTGTCTGACTAAAGGTGTAACAGAAAACAATGATCTGTAATTTCTCATAGGAAAATACCCCAAATTCACCAGGAAAGAATATTTTTTTAAGCCATCTGCTTTCCCTCTAAGCTTTTCAGTAACTTCTCAACAGCTAATAAATAGAATTGTATGAAGTTTTTCATGACTGATTCACCATACATGGCAACTGGTGCTAGAAACCCAGTTATTTGGAAGGTTAGGATTGAATGGAAAACTGTGAATTAAGTAAAATCAGCATGAATTACAGTACCCACAGTTGGAACAAGCATTAAAACTAGTCTCTTATTTCTGTCTGTGAACCGGAGGCAAGGCTTGCTGCCTTTAAATCTTGGCCCTGACATCATCTTTCTCAAAAGCCTTGGGCAAATAGATTTACAATTTGCCCATGAACAGAGCTAGCTAGATAATGGCTTCCATGTGGAACTGTCAGAAGATAAAGGAAACCATGAAGGAGTTTGAGGATGAAAGCTTTACGTAATTATGTGTCAAATATGGTCATTCCTCTGAGGAAATAGATCAAAGCTAGGAGGTGAAGTGGAGTTGGAAGGCACCTCATTCAGTTCACAGGTTTTCAATCTGTTTTGAGGAATCCCTGCATTCTCTCCAATTTCCTTCCACTGCTACCAGAGGTAAGAGGTGAGCATAGTCACCTCTGGACTCACCTACCCAATTTCCCCAGAGCACCTCTACATTTATCTGATTTTCATCAGGATTCCCATAAAACTCATTTCAACAAAGGACTTCATGGCTTAAAAATAATTTGAGAAACCCCTGCTATAATCCAGCGCCTTCATTTTATAAATGAGATGAGAGGGTTAAGTGATTTACCAAGTCCTCAGAGATACCCGGAGGTGTAGCTGGGACCAGAACAGTTCTGATTTCTCCTCCTTTTCTTCTCCAGTAGAAAACTGTCTCTTCCCTGAGGCCTCTAAAACCTTTTTGATGAGTCTAGGCAACGTAGTTCCCTGACGGCAATCTAGTCTCCTCTCAGGGGTCTTTTGGGCTGGAAATATAATGCTAGTGTACATCTGTCACTCAAAGATGGAGTTCTGGACTCTTCTTCCCAACCCTCATCCTGAACTTCATTCTCTTGTCTACTAACTTCTTCTCTGATTTTATTTTCATCTGGGCAATTGGGTTTGCTGCCTAGCATGGCTTTTTCCAACAACAACCTATTTGCTCTTCAGGTAAATAACTAACTAAATGTTTATTTCCTAAAAATTCCCAATGCACTATTACCTAGAAGGAATAAAGCCTGCAGAGGCATATCAGTGAGGTTCTGGGTCTTGATATCTCTAAGAAACGGTCCTGCATGTGACCCACTTCAAAGAAAATGCTATTTTTATTTGTAGAGTGGGAAAATCACAAACTTCTCTCTTTAGCATAAGTTAAATAACTAACATTATGACATTTCATCAAAGTCTCTTAGGAGAAAAATTATAATAATAAAAAAGACAAGTCAATGTTGTTTTTGTTAAATGGAACAGTCTCTAGATCATAGAATTGGAACTGGAAGGGACCATGGAGATCATTCCTCCTTCAGGAGAATCAATGGTTCCCAGTAGTGATCATTTTTACCATCTTCAATACTGCTGCCTTTTCTCGAGCACTTATTATGGACCAGGCAACTGAGCTAAGCTCTTTACAAGCTTTGTCATCTAATCTCCATAACCACCCTGGGATGATTATTTTCCTCATTCTTCAGATATGGAAAGCGAGGTTCAGAATAGTTGAATCAGGGCCACAGCCTTGCCCAGCTACAGGGAGCATCATTCACTTTGTCTTCAGTGTAAATTATACCTCCTGGAGCACCACGCGGTAGCCTTGGGTTAAATGACTCCCAGCTTCACAGAGCTGGTAACTGGCAGATTCAAGAATCACATCAGGACCGTCAGGATCCAAAGCCCAGGTTCTAACCACTTATACAAGTGTCTGCTTCAGAAATCCATGTGTGTTCAGACTCTACAAGTCTTCTATTGATAATTATTATTACTATTGATAATGATGAGTCAAGAAGAAAGTAAATTGGCTGTTAAATATTGAGCATGACTCAAACACAAGACAAGTGCCCAAGGAGACTTTATTCATACTGGTTTTCTTCCTTTTGTTTTTGCCCATATATTGAATAGTTTTTGTTTCATGTTATAATTTTTTTTTCTATTGAGGTAACATTGGTTTATACCATCGTGTAAATTTCAGATGTACGTCACTCTCTTTTGGCTTCTGTGTCGGTTGCATCTTGTTCACCACCAAAAGTCTACTTGCCATCCATCACCATATATATGTGCCCCTTTACCCCTTTCACCCTACCCCAATCCTCTTCTCCTCTGGTAACCACCAATCTGTTCTCTGTATCTATGTATTTCTTTGTTTGTCTTCCACATATGAGTGAAATCATATGGTATTTGTCTTTCTCTGTCTGACTTATTTCACTTAGCATAATACCCTCAAGGTTCATCCTTGTTGATGCAAATGGCACGATTTTGTCTTTTTTATGGCTGAGTGAGATATATATATATATATATATATATATATATATATATAAAACCACATCTTTCTTTTCCATTTATCCGTTGATAGGCACTTATGTCGCTTCTGAGTCTTGACTATTGTGAATAACGCTGTGATGAACGTAGGGGTGCATATATCTTTTCAAATTAGTGTTTTCATGTTCTTTGGATAAATACCTAGAAGTGGAATAGCTGGATAAGATGGTATTTCTCTGTTTGATTTTTTGAGAAATCTCCATACTGCTTTCCATAGTGGCTGCACAAGTTTGCATTCCCATCAGCAGTATATGAGGGTCCCTTTTCTCTACATCCTCTTCAACACTTGTTATTTCTTGTATTTTTTAATAGCCGTTCTGATGGGTGTGGTGATATCTCATTGTAGTTTTGATTTGCATTTCCCTAATAATTAGTGATGTTGAACATCTGTTCATGTGCCTGTTGGCCATCTGTAAATCATCTTTGAAAAAATGTCTCCTCATATCCTCTGCCCATTTTTTTATTGAGTTGTTTGTTTTTTTGTTGTTGAGTTGTATGAGTTCTTTATGTATTTTGGAAAGCTATTTTTTTATTTTTATTTTGAAAGAATTTCAAACTTAGAGAAAAGTTGCATTAAGGGTAAAGAACTCCCAAATACTTGTTACTCAGCTTCACCAATTATTAACATTTTGCTACATTTGCTTTAGCATTCTCTCCCTTTCTGGGTACTTGCTAGAAATGCAAATTCCTGGGCCCCACCCCAGAATTACTAAATCAGAAATTCTGGGGGTGGCACCCCACAATCTGTCTTAACAGCCTTCCAAGGGATTCTGAGGTTCGCCCACATTTGAGAGCTACTGTCCTTTGGAAGAAAACTTGGGAAATTATTCTAAGCACTTGCTGTTTTTCTCATAAAAGGAGAGAAGTTGGGAAAAGTTGGAAAGTGTAGCTTAGTTTTTCTAAGATTGACCACGGCATGAAGAAGCATTGTTGAATTTTTCTCCACCCCACTGAATTGATTCTCATAAAGGGTCTCTACAGGCTAAGGTAAGTTCTGGGACTTAGTGTTCTAATTAAGAATCAAAAAGGACTTTCTGATTTATTGCCTGGAATGGATTAATTTCTGTGTACTTAACTCCCCTGAAACTGTTCTAACTTTATTGCTCACACTCACACAAAAAAATCTTACAGAAATACAAATATACGCGTTATAGAGAAGCTTAATGATTATATAGAAGACTATGTTCACCAAAGTGGCTTATTGTAATTTTCAGAGGATGAGAGTTTGAATGAATCTACCCCTTCTAAGAAGCAGTTTAAAAAGGTTGTTAAACATTGGGGTAACAAATGAAATCATCAACCATGTAAAATTTCATTAGTCTTTACAATCGCAAAATCATATTTCTCCCTTTAAATAAGTAATTCAGAGTTTTACAACCTGCAAAGTGAAGATTCCCAGCTTCAAAGCGCCCCCGCGCGCGTGCACGTGTGTGTGTGTGTGTGTGTGTGTGTGTGCGTGTATTTGCAAGTGGAGCCTGACAGGTTGACATGGTTACAATAATTGTTTCTGTAGCCTGGGTCGGTTACCAGCCATCATAAAACAGGCTGATTATGATTGTGTATACAGAGCAAGAGATAAACTTCCAAAGAAGGAACACTGAAAAGCATTTCTTTGTGCTGTTAAAGTCTGAGTCCATCTCTGTGAAGCAGTCCTTTTACGGAGATTTCTTCTTAGCTAACATGACAACTAAGTCCCATTACAATAAATTGCTTAAATTTCAAAGCCTACATGATGATCCATTTATTTCAGAGAAGTCAATAAAGAAGAAGAGGAGGAGAGGAGGAATTGGGGGCAGTTTCTTAGACTGTTTTAAAATGGAATTTGACCCGTATTTAGAATTTGTATGGGGGGGCGGTGTTAAATGATCATTTCCCGGGACTTACAAGCTGTGGAATTTTCATAGTGTTTGTGTATGTTTATTCTGAAACTTAGAGACCCCCATTCACAACATCTCAGACAATAAAGATGGAAGAACAGATAAACAAAGGACATACCCTAATATATTGTGGGATTTTTCACTCCTTTCCTACAGGCAAGTCAATCTTTTGGAAAGTAACCATTCCAAGAATCTCCTTGTAATTTTGATGCTGTGCCTCCTCCTCCCAGCAATCTTAGCCATCAGTTGTGTTTATAAGTCTTCCGACCTCCTCTTCAGATGACCCCATTTGGCTCTCTCCCCTTAGGATTCTCTTTGACATTTGGCAACCCCTTTCTCTTTTCTCCTGACTTCAAGCCAAGATCCAGCATGTGAAATCCTGCCTCACGTAT